ATAATTGTAAAATTAAAAGTACAATGGTATTTGACTAATTATGAAATTTAACAAAATTATCATCTTTTATACGATGAAGTTCAAAAGTTACAGCTTTATAAAACGCCATCTTAATTTCATACCTACATTTGGAGCATTGGGATTTTGAAAGATACCTTTTCTAAACAGATAATTCTTACTCACTACCTCTACACTCCATAATACAATGCTTCAATTTGTTACTAGTGTTATATGACCATAATAGCATTTTTGTGTATGTTGGGTTGCATACCAACTAATTCAACAATTAGGCATTCCAACGACCTGTCAAACAATTAGGCATTCCAACGACCTGTCAAACAATAGGTGCCAGTGGGAAATTCTTGTATATTTAAGGGGGTAGCGACATAGTCTTGCAACTTGGACGCTATTTTTATTCAAAGTAGTACTCGCCAAGCCTGCCAATTTATAAAGAAATGTATAGGTGGGTTTTTTAAATATTATTTTTATTGTGTTTGACATAAAATATTTAAATGTAATCCATTATTCATGATTTTACGTAAAGTACATAGAATACACCATATGTCGCCACCCTTAGATATACCAAACCTGCCCACTGGTAATTCATTTGTTTGGAATGCCTAATACCTGCCAGTGGGAAGGTCTCGTATATCTAAGGGGGGTAGCGACATAGTCTTGCATCTTGGACGTTATTTTTATTCGAAATATCAGTCGCCAATGCTGCCAGTTTTTAAAAAAATGTACAAGCAGTTTTTTTGATTAATATTTTTATAGTGTTCGATATAAAATATTTAAATGTAATCCATTATTCATGATTTAACGTATTGTAGATAGAATACATCGTATGTCGCAACCGTCACATCTACCAAACCTGCCCACTGGCAATTCATTTGTTTGGAATGCCTAATACAGTGATGTTTTACCAGGGCCGTATCCAGAATGAATTGGTATAGCGTTATAATGTAGTTTTTTTTTAAATTGGTGTTAGGTCCTTGGTACCTACATATTTGTACCTCAAATGAAAAGGCTTAAATATTCAAAAATAATTTATTTGATTTCAGAACCATTAATAAAAAAGTACAATTTTCAAAAAGGAAAACTAAATAAATCGAACACATTTAATTATTAAGTGTTTTCTTGCTCTCTAGATATTCAATTTCATTTTAATCTTCTTAGCGGAACAAAAATAGTTTACAAAAAGATAAAAGACACTAACTTGCTTTACTGTTTTGTTTACTTCCGTTTATTAAAAATACAGTACTTTTTGTCGAGATAACTGCACCACAAATTACTAAGCAGGTAGGGTTAGATTTAGCCCAGAACACTTCGGCCTCTTGGGCCTATTGTATTTCCTGCTTTCCTACTATCTTTAAATGGTCATGTTCATTTGGCTAGTTTTACTAGGTTCTCTACAAAGTATTCTGGTTCTAGACCGAAAAGGGTGCGCCCCCTCCTAAAAAAGTACCTACGCACGCAAAGAAAGCAGGTTAACCATCCATTTCCGCCGACAACCGCGCTTATACAAAGTCATCGCAGTAGTACACAACGAACGCCGGTTTTCGGCCAGTTTAAAACAAACTTCCATACTACAAAGATTTCTGGTTTATCTTCTGACGAAGACTTTTATTGATGAAAATACATTTCTAAGGATGCAACACACATAACAAGGTAAATCCAGTGAATCGAGAACGAAAAATTTATGGTGAATATCAATTTATTTTAATCGTTGAAACAACACGAACAACACTCTTTTCAGTATATGAGAATGACTTTTGAGACATTCACCTACATCTTGGAAAATATTAAAAATGTGGTGTACTTTGCACAAGCACTCAGTAAACCACAAATAGTTGTCATTCGCTCGGCCTGACACCGGCATGTACGGGAAGCCGAGAACTCGGATTGCCGTTGTCGGGGCTTCTTCTGAGCCGGGAGAACCGTACCATTTGACGTAATTTAGAAGTAGAAACCGCATATGGTCCATATTTGGCTTTCCAGACCTGGAAAGCTTCCTTACGGGCCAAACGCGGTAAATATTTGGCTAACCTGGCACGGAAGGCATCCTTACGGGCCGAATTATATATAGATATAGGAACGCGGCTACAATTCTGCTGGGCGGACATGCACTACCTATATGCCGAAGCTGCATCCATATATCGGGCTGAGTCCGGCATCCGGCAAGCCTCCTTCGGCCCAGTTACGGTGCCGATTAACTGTGTTTATTGGGCAGCAAATTCTTCCAGAAGAAAGACGGTTACCATTTTATGAATAAAATGAAGTACATATTTTGTTTTACAATATTTTATTAAACATAAGTAAAAACATTGCACGATATTCTGGTTTCTGTGAGACCTAAGTCGTTTGTCCCACAATGCATTGCTTTGAAAAATGTCTGAAATTAATGACTACATCCATAATCGATGCGGAAGAATGCACGTTTGACACCGACAAGCAGCGACCAAGACTTCAGCGCCGATCAGTGCTTTCAACAAGTTCCACACAGTTTTGTCTATGTGCAGGAGTCGCTGGTTCCAGATATATTTATACAATGCTATCAATCTCCTGCTAGTTGTCAGGAGTCGAGACTTAAATGTCTTCTTTACCTGACGAAGAAATTTTGATAAATAATCCCTTTTTAAAGTTAAAAAAAAGAGGTATACAATATTTAACAACAGGTTAATCGAAATAGAAAAAATATAGCAAATATCATAAAGATAGGAGCAAAGCGGTTTTTGAATTGGTTTGTAAAAACAGCATATTCTAGAGGCATAAAAAGTAAGCTTGTATATTGAAAAAAAAGTAATACAATTACGTAAAACTTGTTCACTGAAGCTAAATAAAAGAGTATTCCATTAATTTAGATAATAGATCGCACTACATAAAACACATTCTAAATAAAACAAATAAAAGGCATTCTAAAAAAATTTTAAAAACATAAGTTAAGGGATAAACTACTAAACATGCAAGGTTTTAAAACATGAGAAGCACATGGTGGGCTTTCCTTCACAATCTTCACAAAAAGTTAAAACCTTTTTTGGCTTTAGTTCTAGCTATTTTGGAACCTTCCTCCTGCTGCAATCTTTTATAGCATTCACTGCATCTTTTTCTACATTTTCTTGCTTGTCCTTCGTACTTGTCTATTCTATGGCTGCTTTTACTTCGCTTTCTTTTCTTTGCTTACTCGACATTCTCTTCTGTGACATTTCCTTTGCCATCTACAACACTTAAATCTAAATTATTGACATTCATTTCTTCTTCCAATAACCCATCAATTATTTCTACGCGGCAAGTTAACATGTCCTTCTTGGGGCCAGCGCTGTACTTGTTATGTACAGCCCATGTATTTACCACACTGGTACCCAGAAAAACTTCAAAGATGACTGTCTTGTACCACTTGATGCTTTTTCGTAAGCTCGTATAATAAGAAGACATCTGATCAGAGACATCAGCGCCTTTTCTTGGCCGCGTTATAATCAGTTATGGCTACAGGTTTTTTGATATCTTCTCCCTTACGATTTTTGGTGTCGGTTGGTATAACTTCATCGGTATGACTTGGAACAGTGCTTATCATGAGAACTGGACGTTTGCCCATCCATTTTATTACGCAGATTCCATTTTCATCCTGCTTCCCATATATCTCTCCTTTCTTCAACTTTTTTTTACTGACATTTTCCGGATTTCCCTTCCTGCTGGCTTTCAGCGTTCCACAAACATATGTTTCTGATTTCAACAAGTCTTGGAAAAGTTTAACACTCGTGTAAAAATTGTCTATATAAAGAGTTCAAATCACTCATCAGTTCCATGCAAATTTTGTACGTATGACCACCTTCATTAGTTGCAGCAGGATTGGTTCTCGTCGGGTCGTTTTTTCCAGCGTAGACCCTCAGGTCATATGTGTACCCATCGGGTGTACATACTTTGTACAGTTTGACACCGTATTTGTGAGCCTTTGCTGGAAGGTATTGCCGGAATATGAGACGATCCCTCCAAGGCACCATACTTTCATCGATTACAATTTTCTCTTCTGGACCAGCAGCAAATGTCAAGAACTTTTTTAATTTTAAAAAGTCAATGGGTTTCAGCTTGAGGATCTTCATTGTCCGCAAAATGAAGGCACATTAAAAGCAAATCAAAGCGGTTTCGACTCATAATTTTCATTATTCGTTCATTACAGTAAATGTCGTTGTTGGACCAATATAGCCGCATTTTGGGAACTTTATTCAGACCCATAATTAGCAATATTAACAAAAGTAAAAGTATTTTGTAAGTAGTTTATGAAAATGATATAAGATACGGAGTGTTCCATTTCTAATAACCTAGAAAATCATGGTTGTGAGTTTTGGGTTACCCTGTATACAAAATGAAAGATATCAAAAATATGATGAGTTGCATCAAAACTAGACTACTACGAAATTATTCTGGCCTTGAGATATTAACCCTCAATAATTGTTGATTCTAAATAATACATTGTGACGATTTCATCAAGATTTTCACATAAAAGTGGCCTTTTCTTGAAAAGTACCCTGTAGAACCTGATAAAACCGGAATGGGGAAATTGAGCAAAATTTAAATATAGGGTGTTCCACTAAAAAACAACTTTGGTATGCTGTGGCTTTATGAAACACCCTGTATATTACGAAATAATTTTAAAATGTGGAGCTGGACTCTTATCTGTAATTTGTATTTAAAACTTTTGTTCGTATCCCTCAAAACAACGGAGATATTAAACTCCAGAGTATAAGTTGAACACCCTGTATATCTTACTCGATGTACCCACTTTTGAGTTAAAAGACCACAAAGTAAATGCATTAAAAGCAAGGCATCAAGTAAGAACAATGAAACGAGATGCTCTTCAAATGTAGCAAATGGTGGATTTCTAGATATTTCTTCACAATATAGCTTTAAAATTATGTATGTAATTTACAATGGGCCTAAGTGTCATGGGGTAACCCACCCTCCACACGTTACAGATACAGATACGTGTAATATAAAATAAAAAGTCAAAATACATTAAAATATATTTCCTCATACTTGACAATAATAGAAACAATAAATATAAAATTTACATATGTAACAAAATTGATTCCTGTAACTCACTGTACTTTCGAGAGTAAATGTTCCTTTAATATCACAACAATAAATTTAATTCACTTTCTGTTCGTGGTGGTTTATGGTAAGATCCTCTAAAGCTTCTTGGAGTCCTTCTGGGATCCTGCCGGCGTCTATTTCTTTTGCCCAAAATAGGTACTAGGAAAAAAAAATAGAATGTAAACAAAATATTCGAAAATTGTAAATTTAATAAATCGAAAAATCGCAAATCGAAATTCTAAATATCAGAAATAAGTGGCTGAATAAATGAGTAAATTTTTAAAACGCATTATTTCCACAAGAGGACAAAATTCTATTTGTTACGGTTTTGGATTTTTTTTTTTTTTCACTAATATTATACTTCTGTAAAGTCAGAACGAATCAAAAATTCATTTAAACAAAAATTATGAACATAATGCGTTTTGAAAAGTTACTCCTCAAATTGAAAATTCGTAAATAAATCTCAAAAATTCTCCTACGAATTATTAAGGCCATCCCCAACCTTCAAAGGTGAAAACAAATACTTGGAGATTTGAAAAAAGCATGTCGTCGCGGGATTCGAACCCAGACATCCTTGTTCTCTAGTCAAATGCCCTTTTCTCTAGACCAGCTGTACTCAACCTTCTGTTCTTTTGGGCCACATAAATCTGTTTGTTATGTTACACGGGCCACAATATTTTTGGGTAATAACCAGAGTTGCCACCTTTTTTGAAATGTAAATAAAGCACAATGGGTGACGATAGGGATCCACTTTAAAAAAAGGTCCTCATATTGTTTTAGTTTACATATTTTCTAAAAAAAGGACCTCTTGTTTTAATAAGCTTTGGGACAATTTGTTTCAAAAAAAGGACAGTAGATCATTCCTAATAATAGTGTTTGGTGCTGCACAAAAAAGCTTAGATGGCCGCACAAAACAGCTTGGAGGGCCGCAGGTTGAGTACGGCAGCTCATGACCATCAATGACATTGACTATAGAGATTCCTAAACAGAAATTTGATGTGCTAGTTCGGGCCAGATGGCGACTCTTTAAATTAGCAATTTAAATACAAATTTACTACGTGAATCTATACTTTATAAGAAAAGAACGTGAATGTGAAAAACCAATGTTTTTTAAACTGAATCGTCACTGTAACACTCCAAATGAGTGCTTAGACACTAATGCTATTCATATGGAGTTTCATTTATTTATTTACTTGGGACACAAACAGGACAAAACCAGGACAGTGTCCACGAAAAATATACAAAAGAAAAGTAATTGATTAATCATAAAAAAAACTATGCAACAAATTTGTCATATAGGGTAGGTATCCATAACAAATGAAAATAGTGCAGAAGACATTTTTTAGACACTAATCTTTTAGGCTGGGTTAAAGGTGGAGCTAAACCAACTATCAATCAATTTAGTACTATTTGTAACTTAGTATCATTGGAGAAACATAGACTTGATGCAGATTTATTATTTGTTTATAAATTGATAATGTCCTGATCTATTGTCACAATTTTGTTTTAATACTGGGCCAAAAACAAAGAGAAATAGACCTATATTTTATATAAGTTCACACTCAACGAATTATGATTAATCATAGTCCATTTTGTCTCGTTTGCCTCGTCAACATTATCCATTAGATAGATATATTCTACAAATATCTAAATTCTTTTAAAAATGCCAGAAAATCGCTGTACATAACATTCAAAAACTCTCCATTTAATTTTTTAATTATTAAACTTTTATGTTTATTATCTTTTTATATGTTGTCCATATCTTTAAATAATTTTTCTGCGATTTTAAACCTGCATACATTTTTAATTATGTCTGTGTGAATATACCTACTAAATAGCAATATATAAATATTATGTAAATTGGGTTAATTTCATTAGTTTTGTATATTTTCTTATTATGTACTTGAAAACCGTAAATAAATCATTCTTTTTATAATAATAAAGAAAAATTACAAGCAAACATATAATTATAAACAGCAATTTCGTAAGATCGAATTGAACATAAATATTATATAATTAATCAAAATTTCACATTATCATTAAAAACTTTAAAATTTTAAATTGCAAAGATTAATAAGAACATTATAGTCTAATAAACTAGCGCATTATGGGTAGAAGAAGAAAAGTTATCTGGCAATTTTACAACAAGAAAGGAAAAGCAGTGATGTGCAAATTTTGCCATAGAAGGTTTGTTTCCAAATGTGAATAAAATGAAAAAACACACTTTGAGGGGTTTACACTGTCCCATAAATATAAAAAAATCTTGCCAAAGCAAATAAGGTTGTCTTTCGAATATATATGAGGCACTGCAGAGCAAAGTAAAAGCAGATTTAAAAGATTCTAAAAATTTGCATTTACAACGTGATGGATGGAGTAACCTTCGTAACGAGTCAATTATTAATTTTGTCATTACCAAACCGAAACCACGTTTTGTCGACTTTATAATTACCAAAACCAACAGACACCTTGCCAAATATTTGTCAAATTAAACGCAGAATGTGTTAGAAGAGTATGGACCTGCAAAAATTTCTGGTTATCGTTGGTGACAATGTTGCAAATATGAGAGGAGCTTTTCGATTATTAACCGAAAAATTCGATCACATTGTGCCATTAGGCTGCATTGCTCACCTGCTGCATTTAGTTTGGAATGACATATTGAGGTGCGTTTCTATCAAAAAATGTATGGCAAAAGTTACAGATGCTATAAAAACTATGAAAAACAGTCATATTATCCACAGTCTATATTTTGGGTACAAGTTGACAAAATGATAAATATTTTGAGGCCAATTGTTGATCAGTTGCAGAAGAAATAATGGATGCCATAGAATTTATAATTGACACAGCTGCAAAAATTGGATTGGGACTAAAAATTGGCGAAATTAGTGGTCTTCTAGCAATTTATAGAGATAAGGAAGGCATATGGTCAAAAAGGTTCATCTGGGAAGGAATGGAAGATATCAATCCTCTTACTCAGTGGAGAGGTAACTGTGGCACGAATATACTAGCAGACGTTGCAATTAGGATTATGAGTGCACCTGTAACTTCTGCTGCTACTGCACGATCCTTTAGCACTTTCAGTTGGATTCATATTAAAAAAAGAAATCGATTGACTACAGAAAGAGCTATCAAAATTACTTACTTAGCTTAGAATTGGACATTTCTAATGTTCAATCACTCTGATTCAGACAATTAAGATATTGTGAAATATATGTTTTAATTTCAATAAATATTTTTCATACCAATTGCTTAAATTTAATAGATATCGAGAAATTTACCCATTTTTGGTAAATATTTTTGGGTATTTTCCCGCAAAAATAAATTACATCACTAGTAATGTGTAAATTAAATGCAAAATTTAGAAAATCTTGTATCTATAAAAATAATTATAAATATTCCCGGAATGTATAATCCCTTGCTCGAGGATGAATTTATTTGTGTGATTATAGCACCTTAATTTGTTTATTTATGTAATTTAATGGGCTCTGGCGAGTAAATAAATAAAATAATTAGCATGTGTACAAATTAAGGGATTAACCATACTTATACAGGGAAAACAAATGGGTTTAGTATTACAATTTGATTGGTACTTAAATAATCAAAGATTACAAGTACCTATCATCTTGGAAATTCTAAGGTAAGTTGACTAATTTTGACTAACCTACAGGATGATATTTTTCTGACAGCTACACTTTTCATCCGATATTAATGCTAATTTATTTAATTATGAAAAGTGTATCTATATATGTTTTAATCTAAATTATTTATCGATAAAGAATACCATTAATTTAAAGGTTTTTCTTCAATTGAACTATTCCAGTAATAATTATTTTTTACAAATTAATAGTCACAGTAAATCACTTTCTTATAAAAATATTGTTTTCTAAAAACACTGATATTACTAGGGTTAAGAAAATAAAGTGGACCGGATAATAAATGTATATGGACAAATGCCACATTATTTGATCCGTATGAATCCGAGAATTGCAGCTGGATATTGGAGGGAAGTACATACAATTAACTGGTTTGAAGGACCACAATTGCCACCATCCGTCAAAGACGTTCTCACTGATAGTGAAAATATGGAAGGATATTTTGAATTTAATTTTGTCAATTTATAAACTTAATTAAATTATTAATTTGTAAAGACGATAGCACGCCGTATAACACCGGATATTATGTCGAGTTTGATGACGATATGGAAGGTGTATAAGTATTACTATAAGAATTCGATTTTGAAGATATATATTGTGTTAGATTGTAAATAAAAATTATCTCCATGTTATTCCATAAAAAAAGTAATGTCTTCCTAATTGACTTCTGACAGTTGACCAATGGAGTACTAAGATATTTTAAAATAATGTTGATAAATCGTCAGAAGTGAATTAGATGGAATAAACAATAAAATACGAGATATAATGATGGATCGAGTGGAGCACCGGCCCTCTCAATAATATCTCCGTTATTCTTCCACCTAGCCTTCTGACGATTTGCAAGTAATTTTATTTTTAATTACAGAATAAGAATACAAATTTTCAGAAGTGTACATAGTGACATCTTTGTTGCTAAATTTTTCGCAACATGAGCGCCTTCTGACGACTTTTTCTCTTCCACCTAGTTTTCTGACAATTTTTCCCCCACTTTCTTATAATATCTCCGATAATACTGCAAATTTTCAGAGCTGTACCGTTGTACCTTATCATTTGGCGAAAAAAATTGCATGTTTCACCATGTTCCAAGGTGACTTCTGACTGCCCGCCTCTCGCTATGTTGGTAACAATCGAAACTACTTTTGTGTCGCCAGCTCTCCGTCTATTATTAGTATGAGAGCTCACTGCAAATTTCGAGCGTCATCTGATAACGAAATGAAATATGCTCCAAAGGCATGTAACAACATTGTACTTTACCAAATTGCCAATCCCTATCCTGAGCAAAGTGGCTTAAAAAAATTATTTTATATTAAAAAAATTACATAAGACATGACAGCGACAATTGTGTTTTCCCTGAAAATTACAATCCTAATTCATTGTGAACCTAGCTTTTAAACCTGAATTGTTAATATTTTTACCTACCTTTTAAACCATATTTATGTATAAAAGGAAGAAGGATGACATTGTATAAACATAAACCATTTGCAGAGATAGTCAATAATAATTATAAACTCTTGTTAGACAATTATTTTAAACCATAATCATAGTAGTTTTTTTGTCGTTTCTATGACAACCTGTAAAAATGAATCACAACAATAGGCATACAAATAATAATTTTTTAAATCAGCAAACATTGATTCATATTTTTAATGATTTTTACCTACTAATCGTGGATAGATGTTTTTGTGCGATGTTAAGAGGACGAAAATGTTTCCTTTTAACGATATATATCAAGATATATTTGAATGTAATTTTCTGGAAAACTTTAAGGGTAAACAAAATTAGCGCTGTCATGCCTTATGTGATTTTTTTAATATAAAATAATTTTTTTAAGCCACTTTGCTCAGGATTGGGATTGACATAGGTGCGTGCCATTTGGTAAAGTACAATGTTTTTCCATGCTTTTGGGGTATATTTCATTTCGTTATCAGATGACGGTAAAAATTTGCAGTGGGCTCTTGGGCTATATGTTCAATCAAGTCAAACTTATTTTCTAATACCCGTTTTCGAAAAAAATAATTTTCTCGTAGTTTTTAAATTTTAAAACGTTACGTTTCTAGTCTGATATGTGGCAATGTTGCCTAGTAATTGACGACAGTCGTGAAGGGTCCAATATTATTACCTAAGACCTAATTTCTAGAAACATGATTGGCTTACCTCACTTATTGTATCTGATTGTAACTGATTATTGGTCTTATTTAAGTAATTTTAAGGTAATGCTAATTATTGTGGTATATGTATTAAAGAGAAAATATTTAGAATTAAAACTTTTTAGAAAACTGAGATGAGAACTGTAAAAAAATACCTGTTCACATTCCTGTCTGAGTGCAAAGACAGCTTTTTCTCTATCGGCAACTAATTCTTCTAAATATTGGTAACGTAATTTCTTACGAGCTCTGCATTCTCTTGCACTCTGACGGCTGCGTTCTATAAAAAGAAATGTTAGTTAATGTATGTCTAAAATTTTGATATATATGTTTTTTTATCACCTCATTTCATATAAGACAAGATATGTTTTAGGAACTGACTACCACAAGATACCTACAAGATAAGTTATAATGATTGAATGCATCAAGAAAAAGATGAAAAAGCAACAAAATAACGATTAATTATAAAAAATGGACGTTTAACCTTCACCTGGCATGCTCATCCTGAGTAACATGCCTGGACTCGTGGGGTACGTACCCCAGTGATAAAAATCTTTGTAAAAATTGTAATAGGGGGTTGGGTGGCTCAGTGGTAGAGTCTCTGCCTGTGGATCTAAGGGTCCCAGGTTCGAATCCCACCGTTGGCCGGAATTTTTTCATTTAATTTAATTATTTAAAATTAATTCTGATGCCTTGGTAGGATTCCCCACTCGACCAGTCACTGTTGGGTTCTAATTAACAGTGCTGTTCCTAAAGTGGCGCTGGGAAACAGTAACAACGCCTACACAGAACACGATGCGAATTAACCTTAGCAGTTGAAGCCGATGACACACCAAAAAAAAAAATTGAAATATTGATTATTTTGTCTCAAAAAAATGTAGAGATCCTCTTTGGATATTACTTTAAACTGTAGAGTAGTCAGAGTTAAAAAAATGAAGATCAGCTTTCATAAAAAATCCGGAAAACTGGAAATCATAACTTTTTTGTTTTTCGATAAAAAGGGCTGAAATTTTAGCTGTGTCTTCTTCTGTTACATCACTATAAAAGAATAATAACTGTTTTAATGGGTCTTTAAAAAAAGGTATTTATTTTGAGAACGCTATCCCACTGGCCCCAGGTATAAAAGTATATTCCTTGACTACCGATAGATGTCGTTACCAGTTTCGATTTCGAAGATTTAGATATCGAAAATCGACGAGAAAGAGCGTGGGGTATGTACGTACCCCACGAGACCAGGTGAAGGTTAAAACAATAAAGAGGAAATCCCTGATTATTATTTTTTTTTATTCGAATATTATTTCTGATAGCTTACCCAATTTGGCTTTCATGTCCACTTTTTCAGCCGATTTCCTGCCTGGCTTTCGTCCGCGTTTTCCCGATTCCTTGCGAGCAGGCCCTTCCTACAAAAAAAATATATTTTCATTCTAATAAAATACATTTTAATTGTTTAATTTATTTTGGATAAATTCCTAATAAAATAGGTAAATTTTTAAAGTTAAACGGTTTTATTGAAAAGAAAGATAATGATGATGTAGATATCAGTGTGCATAAAAATTAAGCTTTTGCATTTAAAAATTGGCAACATATCGTGCTTACTTTCCAATAAATAAAATTTTCTGCTAGAATTGGAAAATACGAATTATTTGATAAAGACTCTAAGAACTTTAATTAAGGTTCAGAAATTTTATTTAAAAAAAATAAGTTCGATTTTACTTATTTTTAAGTAAAAGCAATCACTTAATTTTTATTCACACAACTGAATGTACTAAAAAATAATTAGGAAGGTTCTAGGTACCAGTCATCACACCACTCTTCTCATTAATCTAGGGCATTGAGCAGATAAAAACGTCAACCGCTCATATCATTATAAATGCTATTTACATATTTACTCAGGTTACGATACGCCCCCCTCTAAATTTTACGCCACTGTCCAAAAACTTATTTGGACTATACTTTTACATTTTTTGACGTTTTTTATATAAATCATGTACATGTTAGAAAAAAAAGTTATTCTTCATAAAAAGTTGAGCAGGGTCTGAAACCCAAAATACAACCATCAGATATCAAATTGTATTAGTCGTATACGAGGTTTTTAAAAAAAGGTACTTTACTCTTCAGCAAAATTCATATTTTTTGACAAACCTCGTATACGGCTTAAAAAAATGATATCTGATGGTTGCATTTTAAGTTTTGGACCATGCAGAACTTTTTATCAAGAATAATTTTTTTCTCAAAAAGAATAATAAAGTTTTCCATATGGTTCCAACTTAAGTAGACACACTGTACAATGTCAATTTGAAATTGAGTTATCACACTTATAAAAACATTCACATTAAGGTGAGCGGCGTAAAAGGAAGCATTATATTTCGAATGAAAAGACTCAACAATTGGTGGTTCTCTGCAAAGAAGAAAAATGTTCTGCACATATAAATGGTAAAAAAGATGAGTCTTCTGCAACATAATTGTCAACGAGATAATCACAAAACTGCGTAACTTTTTCAGGCTTAATTTGTGTTAAATCAGTTGCAAAAATGTCGCCTACATCTTCAGGATGAAGAAATGGTAATCCAAAAACAAAGTTTAAAAACTTTGATATTTCCGTTTCACTCTCCCCGGTTTTTTTGGTACTCTGTTGTAGTTAAGCCTAATTCCTGAATTTTTCGGGACCATGACTGCCCTAAGTGAAAGCAACAACCTCGTAGACTTGCTGAGAACGCCTTGTATATGCTTTTATGAATAGCAATCTCAAAATCTGCTGTTATAATTTTTGGCGAAACAGGGTGGTTAAATTTGACACACTCCTTTATTATATACTTAAAAACAAGATTTTTCTGGTAAGGGTTCAATAAAGTACCTTTTATGTATGTTTCTTTTACTTTGTAGGTAGGTATCTACTTTCAAAAATTACATTTGAAAAACACTGGTTAAATTTTCGTAGAATTTTAGTAGTAATAAAATTTGCACCGCGGATGCAGTTTCATTGTTAAAAATTCTACCTGACCGATTCGGGATGCAGTTTCGAATGTCCGCTTAACTTACTCCTTCAGAAATGATAAAAGCAGCTCTTTTGCACCCTGTAAAAACATCAAAGCAAATATATAGTAAGTAGTATTAATTAGTTAACTATGTGGCAGTATGTAAATTAAAATTAATAATATAATATAAACAATTTCACTCCTTCCTTGTTGAGAATATTGTTATTTGCTTGAGGCATTATAAAATTCACGACCATTTGATTCTGTAACTGACCAAGGTTTTTAAAATTAATATTGAGAATTGCAAGATTTAATTTAAATTGTAACGTAATATCTGATTAAAATGCATATATTACATTAAATAAAAAAGTACTAATTGGTTTTTGTACGAAACATTCTTTTCCAGTCTCAGTATTGTCATCATAAATTATGTATGAATATGTAAAAATATTTTTCTTGGTGCCGCTCTAATCAAGATTCCTATTATATGAATAATATAAATAAAATGAAAACTATAGAAGTGGCATTTTTAAAAATTCTTTTACTATCATTTATTTATCAAATTAATCAATAATGAAATTGCTAAAATTTTATATTTGTTTTTCACAAGAATCGTTATTTGGTAGAAGAAACCAAATGTATAATAAAATGCACAAGTCGTAGATACCTTTAATTTCGACTGTAGAATGTATTCCAAAGTTGAAATCTCACACCTATTAAATTTACAATGCTGTTACTGGAACGAAACTTTCATCTTTTTGATAACTGCGATGTATCACGATCTCACGAATTTAATAAGGAGAAAGAAAAATAGATTGCTGTTATCAGAAATACAATCTATATTCATGAAAATTCTATAATTCGATGCGTAGTTTTCCTTTCGCAATTATTTAATTAACTCGAGAATAATATCTTGTTACTAAATTTTGTTTACAACATGAATTTATACGGATATATTTTACAGTATTTAATTTACTTAACCACAAAACTGAATATTCATTTTAATTGATATGTTTATTAAGTACGCATAAGGAACCCAAAGTTGTATATTGCATCTTTTTATCTTTTGACCTTATCTGTATGAAGGGAATTTAGAAAAAGGGTAACTGTCAGAAAATTACCTTTTTAAATTAATATCTTTTAATTTATTCAATAGTACTAATAAAATATATCACTATTCGAAGCGTTGGAATTCAATTTATTTTTGCGCCCCAAACTTTGCCTCCCTAAAAAGCATTTTATGAAATGGACTCACTAAAAGAGTCCCGTTTTACTATTTTTTGTCAAATTTTCAAAAGTATGTAAAGGAGACTTTTCTATTCTTAAATTTTTAAAAATAGATGCAGTGTTCATCAAATTTGGCACCAGCAATAAATGGGTCTAACATTTCTTCAGCTTATTATTGCTTATAATAAACTAGAATAGAAAAAAGCATATACTGCTTATTTGATCGTCACCATTTTTAATTCTGCATATTACAAAAATAGTTTTTGATAATCTGTTGCTAAGGTGGTTTATCGAAACTATGAGAATTTTGGTTCCATGTGAATACCTACCAAGAAATTTCATTTGTCCTGCTAATTATAAAAGTCTTTCAGATGCAGTTCAAAAAACTACAACACACTATATTTTTTTAAATATTCTTCCCAAATTTTACTCTTTAAAAATATAAAAAAATCTTACAGAACGGATGTAGTTCGAAAAACTACAACCAATTCTACATATTTTTTTTAATATTCCGACCAAATTTTAATAATCGTTTTATTAGGAAAGATAAAAATTTATAATCCAATAAAAGCTTTATTAAATTCAGTAAATTTTTAATAATATGCACATAAAAACAGACCTTTTCTTATTTTAACAATTTTAAGAATGAACGCAACAATTTTTTTGCAAAAACTATGAATCCGAATATGAATCAGAAGATGACAGAGTCGAAACATGTAATACAAAAAAATTTAACAAATGCCCAGGAATCTATTTACATTGTATGCATAATTTACTTTTTCTAATTTTGACATATAAAGTGACATATTTTGTAATCTTAGCAAGTGTCAAAACGATCTGCCTTATGCAACTGATTACGAAACGTTGTTTGACACCAGTTACGAAATGAAAAAGAATACAAATTACTCTTTTTTGGTTTTTAAATCGAAAAATCCAGAAACAAAAAATCGAAAGAAAGGCAAGAAATGTGACATTTCACATTTATCAATTTGACATTACGTTTAACAACTAAAAAGAAAACAAAAATAACAGCTGTAAATTGCATTTAATTTTGTAAATAATTGAACACCGTTATTGAAAACGTAGGGCAATCAAATACAACAATTTTCTGAAATATTTGATTGAAAGTACCTACAAAAGAAGATTTGATTTTTTTTTAACCAAACACAATTTTATAAATAATCAAGTCAAATTTAGAAAAAATCTTGTATGTAACACGTTACGAAATGCCGTTTTGTGTAACTCGTTCATCTTGCGGGATCTCACTGCTCGTTCGCAAATATTTACTCGTTACACAAAATAAAGCATTTTGTAACTGGTTACATAAATAACTATTAAAGGGTGTCTTTAATTAACATTTTCTTATTTAAAATAATTTGTAGAAAGACCTTAAACAATCTTTTATTAAAAAACATGAATCGGAAGGTTTTAGACCATGCCCGACTTTTTATGAAGCATAACTTTTTTATTATTATTAGGAAAAAAGTTATTCTTCATAAAAAGTCGAGCCAAAATACAACATCAGATATCAAATTTTATTATACGAGGTTTCTAAAAAAGAAGATGCTTTACTCTTCAGCAAAATTCATATTTTTTGACAAACCTCGTATACAGCTTTAAAAAATGATATCTGATGGTTGCATTTTCAGTTTTGGACTATGCAGAACTTTTTATCAAGAATAATTTTTTTCACAAAACCAATAATAAAAAAGTTTTTCATATGGTTCCAACTTAAGTAGACACACTGTATATAAACATTAATAGTGTTCTAATCCCAAAAAAACTTGACACTCGAAGTTTAAGGAGAAGATTTCTCGAAGAAGCTAAGTTTTAATTATATTTTAGTTTCAATAAACATTTAAATATGTAGTTGTTGGTGAATTATTGTGCATTACATTTACAAAATACCTAGATTAATTAATAAAATAACAGAAATTACTAAACAGAATCAATATTCTTAAAACCTTACTGGCTAAAAAATATATTCTGAAAATGTTACTGACTGAATATAAAGAGAATATTCAGTCAGTAACATAGAAGTAACATAGAAGTTTTAATGCAGGAAACTGAATAGTTGGCCTTTCTACCAATATAAATATGTACTAGCAGGAATGGATTATCTAAAAGAAACTTCAGAGGGCGAAATATGAGTATATTTAGATATCATAAACTACGTTTCAGGAACGTTCAGAAAAGTG